ACTACCTAGGGACTGAACAGCAACCACAAATTTGTGTATATACATATCATCTCATAGGTAGACAAAATTGGAGATGTAATTTTTAAAAATACTTGCCACATCATAGTCTCTGTTTCTTGCACTCTGCTTCTTTCAGTTTGTTTAGGTCTATCATACAACTTAGAGGGTTCCCTCGGCACCAGTCATCCTTAGCCATTTGCTCATACAAAAGCATGGGTTCTAGAAAAAACTGATGGACTATTAGGAGTGAATGGTGGTGTTGCCAACCATGAGCTTTACTGTAGGTAGTCTAGTTGGGTTTTTTTAATTCAACTTCAGTGTCTTGAAGTCTCATTCTGATCAGATTCCCCAGAGGAAACATCTGCGTTACCTGCCTGGCTGCTACCATCTGGGGAGCAGGGTAGGAGGCTCCTGCTGGGGCCTCAGCTGCAAGCACTGCAGTTTCCATCTCTTCTCCTTGTTCTCGTCTGGAAGCCTCAACACAGTCTGTGGTCTTCCTTGCAGAGATGGTCTGTTTACGCTTTTCAGATAATAAACCTTCAGGCTGAAATTGGGAAGGGGCAGTGAGCCAGCTGCACAAGCAGAGAAGGGGATTTCTAAGACCATTTCCTAAACAGGCTTCCAACCAATCTCCCTCATTTCAGTTCCCCTCCTTCACCCTCACTTCCATATGTAACTCATGCAGTCAATTCTAAATATTTTAAAGATTTTATGGTTTGACACAGGCTGTCCCTCAGCTTCCAGTGCAAAGATTTGATTTTCGTGAGTCTGTGAAGTTATCCACACTCCACCATCTGAGAGCTTCCAGAGTTTAATGTCATCTCCTTCCATGATGTCATTCTCCTATTCTCACGGTTTTATGCCTTTAAAATAATTTACCATTGTTTTTGTAGGGATGTAAGAAAGAGTTAAAGCATACACATGTGTTCAATCTACCATCTTATTCATAATAACATTTCAAAGCAACAAAGGTAACAAAGGATTAGATCCAGCCAGAGTTAGATATAGCAATAACAGCCCTTGAGTCATGATGAGCCCCTGAGCGAATATGAAGCCACCACATGATACTGCTGAATTAACAGTTAACATGAAACTGGAAAATCATTCTTAAGATATGAAAGGAAATTGCTCTTCTGATATTTTTGTTCATTAGGAGATAACTGTATTTAATTTTGGTTTCCACATTTAAGAGATACATGGAAAGCCCCAGAATAGTAGAACCAAAACGTGATTTATAGAACAGATTACCAAGCCTATGAATAAAAGTTACTTAACCTGAAGGCCAAGATGTAACAATATTGTCAAATTGATGACTGATTTCCCAAGGGAAATCACTCAGTAACTAGTCTCTGTTTCCATAATGGAGTAACATAAGAAAATAAATTGAAGCTCTATCAAGAAAATGGGCAATTAAACATTTGAATGGGCTTTAGGAGAAAAAGATGGATCTCTCTTTGAAAATATTTACAAATTCTATCTCTGAAATAGAAGGTAGACCATGGGTTAGATGTCTGAGTGTCCCTTCCTTCTCTGTCTGAGGTACTCTATCACCACTTTATATTTGTGTCTGCTTGATATTAACGAGCCCTTTCTCCAAGGAAGGCCCGCCCCTGGTCTCATCTGTTAGAATGACCGCTCTGACTGCTGTGGGTTTGCCTTGGCAGACGGGCTCTGTGTGTCTGCTTTATGCATGCGCCTATCCAGACTCTTTAGTTTCCTGCCTCATTAGAAAGTGCAGCCAAAAACAGTTTATTGACCAAAGATCCGTGAAAACAGAGGAAAAACAATTAAGAATACAGGCCTTTATTTACTGGCTCAGAAATGTATTACTTAAAATTATCGAGCATTAGAGTATGGTTCAGAGGAAGTAATTACTCTTATGCTAAATGACTCTTCCTGAGCATTTCTTAAAGCTAGATAATTTACAGCTAGAAGTAATTATTTAAAAAATTATTGATGCCCTGTAAATAAATTCTTCAGTACCATTTTTCTAGAATCTGTATACATGTGTTAGAATACAACAGTGGAGAAGCAGGCATAGAGAATATACTTATGGACATGGGGAGAGGGGAGGAGAGGGTGAGATGTATGGGAGGAATAACATGGAAACTTACATTACCACATGTAAAATAGAGAGCCAACAGGAATTTCCTGTATGTCTCAGGAAACTCAAACAGGGGCTCTGTATCAACCTAGTGGGGTGGGATGGGGAGGGAGATGGGAGGCAGGTTCATGAGGGAGGGGGTATATATATACCTATGGCCGATTCATGTTGAGGTTTGACAGAAAACAGCAAAATTCTGTAAAGCAATTATCTTTCAATAAAAAAAATAATAAATTAAAAAAATACATCGGGATGGGGATGTAGTTGGGAGGGGCGTTCAGGATGGGGGACACATATACACCCGTGGCTGATTCATGTCGACATATGGCAACAGCCACCACAATATTGTAAAGTAATTAGCCTCCAATTAAAATAAATTAATTTTTAAAAATTAAAAAAAAAACTGTTTTGCTGAAAATATTTAAAAGCACCAAAAGCAAAGTAGTTGTAAATTCAATTCATATGTTAAAGAGGAAGAAGTAGTGATAGGAATATTTTGTTTAGATATTGAAGGCATTCAGAGAGGTATGTCTCAAATTAAGAAAAATTGTACTGAAGTATATATCTATCTTTTAAGTGCAAAACAATAACTAATATGCAAAGTTTCAAGCTGTAAACATTGAATTTCATATTTTTATAAAGTACTCAGTTTACAATTAAAGATATTCTATCTGTATTTAATGGGATGATTTGCAAAACTATATATATATATATATAAATTGCAAATTTGTTTTATATACTGTTACTCAAAACAGATGTATTCACAACAACCAAACATGGCCCAGATAGAAAGGTAATGAAAAGTGTTATGGAAAGTCAGTGACTTAATGTCACTTTTAGAGATGAGCTATCAGTCCCCTTTGGTCCCTTTCATCACAGTCAGTAAGTCTTCACTGGAGATTCTGGTCCTGTGGATACTGTCCTGTTTCCCTTCTGGCTTTTTTTGATTTCAGATGTGAGTGTAGGGTGATTACTCTTTCGGTAAGTACAGCTAATACTCCATGTTTGTTGGGGCTTTTTCTTTAATAATTCTATTTGAAAATAATTTTGCTTTACTTCCTAAACAGTGTGTGGACGTACATTTTTTAAACAAAATTTCTCATTGAAAGCCCATTGAAAAATAGGTTACTCAAGAGTAACTTGTTCTTTATCAAAAATTTATAAAACAGACGTATCTGTTGAAGTGAAAAGTATCTTCCAAGTTTAAATAAAACTACACTGAGTGAAAAGTCTGGAGAAAGCTGAGGTACCTCTTTACAGGTCTCTGTGATTTGGCCCTTGTTTTTCCCAGCTGGCAGCTATGGATTCTAATGTGTTACATTTTGTCCTTACTTGCAAAATTTACACTAGTGTAATCAGTAAAACACTTGTCTGGAATTTTTCACATGAAAGATTCATTTCTTAATACTTATTAGCTGCATCTTCAAAAAATTGTGGTTAGTTTCACAATTGAAATCATTTGAATTTGCTTTTTAAAGAAAATACATGAAAAGAATGCTGTTTCTTTTTGTCATAACAAGGATATGCCCTCCTCCAGTTTTCTGATTTAAATCTAGTTGTGTGTGTATTAGGTTTGTTAAATATGAGCTCTGTAACTGTGTTACCCACTCGGTCACTTCTGACTCAGACACTGGACTCCAGCCCGCAGGCTCCTCTGTCCACGGCCTTCTCCTCGCAAGAATACCGGAGTGGGCAACTGTTCCCTTCTCCAGGCAATCTCCCCAATGACACAGTGGTAAAATATTGAACATGCTTCTGAGGTGAAATTTAAATACGGTCTATGTGATATTAATAACCAAGAATTCTATAATAATAAGTATAACTGTGACTTTATTATTAGAAAAATAATTCTGGAAATAATTATATGACAGATTTCTAGTCATAAAATAAAGCTTATCAGCAGGTAATCATTATAGTGCATGGGACTTATAAAAACATAGATAATACCACATGAGTTACCTATTGCTGCATAAGAAAGTTTCTCAGAACTTCAGTGGCTTAAAACAACAGTGGTTATCATCACACATTTTTTCTGGGTCAGGGACTTCCTGAATTGCTTAGTTGTGTGGTTCGGACTCAGTCTGTCATGAATTATGTTCAGAGTGCCAGCTGACGTCCCCTGAGGGCTTGGCTGGGGCTGGGAGAGACATGTCCAGGCTCAGTCATGTGGCTGTCGGCGGATGGCTTCAGTTCACTCCATGTAGGTCTGTTTGTGTCCTCAGGATGTGGCAGCTGGCTTCCCTCAGAATGAGAAGCTAAGAGAGAATGCAGCCAGGAAGTCAGCAGCCTTTATGAATTAGTCTCCCTACTTGCCTTTTTCCTATTCATTAGAAGTAAAAGAAAGTCCAGCCCACACTCTGTAATAAGAGGATGAGGCTCCACCTAATTCCACTCATGGGGTCGCAAAGAGTCGGACATGACCGAGCGACTGAACTGAACTGAACTGAATTCCACCTGGAAGGGAGTGTCAAAGACTTTATCAGCATATTTTAAATCACCACAGGCACGTTAACAGTATTGCTGGAAAGAGGCTTAAATTTATTATAACAACCATTTTTTAAATACGAACCTGAGTTCTCTCCACAAGTCACCACAGAGGTTAACCAGGCTCTAGGACGTTGCCCACTAGGTCGGCAACATCTCCGAATCACTGAAGGACCTCAGAGCCTCTCATTGTCACAACTTACCTGTCTTCATGTTGAAGCAACCTTGTACAACTGTTTTACTTGAACAATCAAAAAATCTCTTAGCAATCAGACCACTTGGTAAACTAGACGTACATAAATTGAAAACCAAATCAATTTTTGTTGAATTTCATGAGAAACAAATTTGAAAACTTTTGACGTACAAAGTATTTCTGTAACATGATGTATTATTTTTCCTTTCATCAATGAAGAGAGGATGGCTGTGTTCCTATCCCAGCTCAAGCTCCCAGCAGCAATGCTGGCTGCTCAAGCTCATGGGAGGCCTGGGCCTCCAGGCAAGGATGGGTTACCTGGACCTCCTGGAGACCCTGGACCCCAAGGTAAGTCTTCAAGGACAATATTCGTTTACCAACTATTTCACTCTCAGTATATATAACATGCTAATCACAGTTAAGTCAACAATTATGTATATTAATATACAATTTTTGTTGTCTATTTGCTGTCATATCCAACTCTTTTGCAACCTCATTTCCTTCTCCAGAATATACGTTAAAAATATGTATTAATACATCAAAAATATGTAAATAGATTATATATATTTGGTATATATTTTTTATAAATTTGTTTGTACTATACATTTAATATAGGATATCTTGTTAGTATTTGACATTCCAGAAATAGATTTTTAACTATTACTCATTCAAACTTAAAGCTGATCATTATCTGCTAATCTAAATGTATTTAATAATTTTGCTATGATAATAACAGCAATAATATGTCATTATTTATCATTATTAACTCAGGTGTCTCCTCAACGTTTGCACAGTATCTCCTTTGCAGTTCAGATCAGTTCAGTCACTCAGTCATGTCCGACTCTTTGCAACCCCATGGACTGCAGCACACCAGGCCTCCCTGTCCATCACCAGCTCCCAGAGTTTACTCATACTCATGTCCATTGAGTCGGTGATGCCATCCAACCATCTCATCCTCTTGACCCCTTCTTCTCCCAGCTTCAATCTTTCCCAGCATCAGGGTCTTTTCCAATGAGTCAGTTCTTCGCATCAGGTGGACAAACTATTGGAGTTTCAGCTTCAGCATCAGTCCTTCCAATGAATATTCAGGACTGATTTCCTTTAGGATGGACTGGTTGGATCTCCTTGCTAGCCAAGGAGCTCTCAAGAGTCTTCGCCAACATCACAGTTCAAAAGCATCAATTCTTCAGTGCTCAGCTTTCTTTATAGTCCAACTCTCACATCCATACATGACCACTGGAAAAACCATACTTTGACTAGATGGACCTTTATTGTCAGAGTAACGTCTTTGCTTTTTAATATGCCATCTGGGTTGGTCATAACTTTTCTTCCAAGGAGCAAGTGTCTTTTAATTTCATGGCTGCAGTCACCATCTGCAGTGATTTTGGAGCCCTCCCCCACCAAAAAAAAAGTCTGCCGCTGTTTCCACTGTTTCCCCAGCTATCTGCCATGAACTGATGGAACCAGATGCCATGATCTTAGTTTTCTGAATGTTTAGCTTTAAGCTAACTTTTTCACTCTCCTCTTTCATGTTCATCAAGAGGCTCTTTAGTTTCTCTTCACTTTCTGCCATAAGTGTGGTGTCATCTGCATATATGAGGTTATTGATATTTCTCCTGGCAGTCTTGATTCCAGCTTGTACTTTATCCAGTCTCGCTTTTCTCATGATGTACTCTGCATGTAAGTTAAATAAACAGGGTGACAGTATACAGCCTTGATGTACTCGTTTCCCGATTTAGAACCAGTCTGTTGTTCCATGTCCAGTTCAAACTGTTGCTTCTTGACCTGCATACAGATTTCTCAGGAGGCAGCTCAGGTGATCTGGCATCCCCATCTCTTGAAGAATTTTCCACAGTTTGTTGTGATCCACACAGTCAAAGGCTTTGACATAGTCAATAAAGCAGAAGTAGATGTTTTTCTGGAACCCTCTTGCTTTTTCAGTGATCCAACGGATGCTGACAATTTGATCTCTGTTTCCTCTGCCTTTTCTGAGTGCAGCTTGAACACCTGGAAGTTCACGGTTCACATACTATTGAAGCCTGGCTTGGAGAATTTTGAGCATTACTTTGCTAGTGTGTGAGATGAGTGCAGTTGTGAGGTAGTTTGAGCATTCTTTGCCATTGCCTTTCTTTGGGATTGGAGTGAAAACTGACTTTTTCCAGTCCTGTGGCCACTGCTGAGTTTTCCAAATTTGCTGGCATATTGAGTGCAGCACTTTCACAGCATCATCTTTTAGGATTTGAAATAGCTCAACTAGAATTCCATCACGTCCACTAGCTTTGTTTGTACTGATGCTTCCTCAGGCCCACTTGACTTCACATTCCAGGATGTCTGGTTCTAGGTGAGTGATCACACCATCATAGTTATCTGGGTCATGAAGATCTTTTTTGTATAGTTCTTCTATGTATTCTTGCCTATAGTTTATTTTGCCCATAGTTTATTATGCCCGTAGTTGCATGAAATGTTTCCTTGGTATCTCTAATTTTCTTGAAGAGATCTCTAGTCTTTCCCATTCTATTGTTTTCCTTTATTTCTTTGCATTGATCACTGAAGAAGGCTTTCTTATCTCTCCTTGCTATTCTTTGGAACTCTGCATTCAAATGGGTATATCTTTCCTTTTCTCCTTTGATTTTTGCTTCTCTTCTTTTCACAGCTGTTTGTAAGGCCTCCTCAGACAACCATTTTGCCTTTTTGCATTTCTTTTCCATGGGAATGGTCTTGATCCCTGCTTCCTGTACAAGGTCACAAACCTCTGTCCATAGATTTTTAGGCACTCTGTCTACCAGATCTAATTCCTTGAATCTATTTGACACTTCCACTCTATAACCATAAGGAATTTGATTTGGGTCATACCTGAATGGTCTAGTGGCTTTCCCTACTTTCTTCAATTTAAATCTGAATTTGGCAATAAGGAGTTCACGATCTGAACCACAGTCAGCTCCTGGTCATGTTTTTGTTGACTGTATAGAGGTTCTCCATCTTTGGATGCAAAGAATATAATCAATCTGATTTCGGTATTGACTATCTGGTGATGTCCATGTGTAAAGTCTTCTCTTGAGTTGTTGGAAGGGGGTGTTTGCTATAACCAGTGCGTTCTCTTGGCAAAACTCCATCAGCCTTTGCCCTGCTTCATTCTGTACTCCATGGCCAAATTTGCCTGTTACTCCAGGTATTTCTTGACTTCCTACTTTTGCATTCCAAAAATTCAGTCCAAAAAACTTTTGCACTACGGGATTTGTTTTTAAGAAATATTTGCCTGTAGTCATGCTGTATTTAAAATCCTGTCAAAAGACACCGGGAAACCTTATTATAGAAAAGAGAAGGGCTACTGGTCAATTCGTGGTGCCTAACCACAGCTGACAGGAACTGAAGGGTTTTTCTCTGGTAGATAAATAGATTGAAGTACTCAGAATATGCAGTTATGAGTGTAACTTCAAAGTTTTGCTCTGCTCAATTTAAAAGTTTTCTCAAAAAGGAAAAAATATTCATATAAAACTGCTACCCTCTGCATGATGGATGATTATAAAAACTACTGTTACCCTAGAGACCATGGAAGCTCAGAGACTGTCAGCTGAATCAGTCCTCTTCTTGACACAGTGTGACTGAATCTGAGGAAAAGCTGAAGTGAGAAACCCAGCATAGAAGAGACAGAATGTGGGCCTGAGCGAGACACCAGGTGTTCTGCCCACACGCAAATTCTGTTTGATGATGGCTCTTCAGAACTTTCTAAAAAGGACATTTTTCCAGTGTTTTTCAGGAAAAAATCCCATTTCATTTGAAATGACATAGTTTGGTTTGAGACATGCACTATAGAAAGAGACTTTTATTGTCTCATTATCTATAAGAAAGGACAGAAATTTAAAGGGGTTTTATAGGATTTTCTTGGCTTATCAGAGAAGCTGGAGCATGTGGAGAGCAATGAGAAATTGACATGAGACTTCAAGCATGCCCGGCAGATATTATGGGGTGGTTCCAGGCCATTACCAGGAGGTGGACATCACAGTGAATCAAGTCGTGTGAATTTTCTGGTTTCTCAGTGCATGTGAAAGTTGTGTTTGTACTATTCTGTAGCTTGTTAGGCATGCAATAGTATTATATCTAAAAAAAAAAGCACGTATACTTTAATTAGCAGTTACTTCATTACTGAAATCTGCTAACTGTCCTCTGAGCCTTTAGCTCTTCGTAATCTTCTTCTCGGGGGAGTCTCTTGTCTCCATGTTGGTGGCTGATGACTGATCAGGGTCCTACCTACTGTAGGACCCACTGTAGGTTGCTGAAGGGTGGGGTGGCTGTGGCAATTTCTTAAAATAAGCCAATGATGAATTGTGCTGCATCAACTGACTCTTTTCACAATGTTTCTGTAACAGCAGTGCTGTTTGATAGCATTTTGTCCACACTTGAAGTTGGAGTCAGTCCTCTCAAAATTCTGCTGCTGTTTTATCAACTAAGTTTATGCACTATTCTAAATCCTTTGTTGTCCTTTCAACAAGCTTCACTGCATCTTTACCAGGAGTAAATTCTATCTCAAGAAACCACTTTATTTGCTCATCCATAAGAAGCAATCCTTCTTCCGTTCAAGTTTCATCATGAAATTGCAGCAATTCAATCCCATCTTCAGGCTCCACTTCTAATTCTAGTTTTCTTACTGTTTCCAGTACACCTGTTGTTACTTCCTCCACTGAAGGTTTGAACACCTCAACATCATCCATGAGGGTTGGAATCAACTTCTTCCAAATTCCTGTTAATGTTGATATTTTGACCTCTTCCTATGAATCATCAGTGTTCTTCTTGACATCTAGGATTGTGAATCTTTTCAGGAAGTTTTTCTATTTTCCCCCAGATCCATCAGATGAATCACTGTCTATGGCAGCTATAGCCTTACAGAATATATTTTCTAAAGAATGAGACTTGAAAGTCAAAATGACTCCTTGGCCATGGGCTGCATGAAAATAACAGGAATCTTGTTGTGTGTTTCTGTCAGGTCTCCTGGGTGACCAGGTACGTTGTCAATGAGCAGTAATATTTTGGAATGAATCTTTTTTCTGAGCAATAGGTCTCAGCAGTGGGCTTAAAATGCTCAGTAAACCATGTAGTAAACAGATGTGCTGTCATTGAGACATTGTTGTCCCATTTATAGAGCCATGACAAATATAATAATCATGAGAAATTTGAAATATGACACCAGTAGACTTTTTTGCCCCAGAGTTGCTACAGACCTTCAATTTGTAAAAGATTCAGTATCTGCAAAGTGCAGTGAAACCAGATATGACTATTTTAGAAGTTCACAATCTAGTTTGCATGGGGGAGGTACTGCTCCTACCAAGATTCTGATGATGAAACGTGTGGAC